ATTGATATCACAGAATGTTAAACTACAGTTTAATGGTACCAGGGGCCTTTGGGATCTTAAGCATAAAAAAAAGCACATGTATGATTGGATGTGATTGGGTGAATGGCGCATGTCATATAAAGCACTTCGAGCATTAAGGTAGAGTTGAAAAGCGCTAAATAAGAACCAATCCATTTACCATTTACCATCAGGGATGTCAAACTCAAATACCGCCCACTTTGATCTTAACTGGGCTGGACCAGTGAAACTTCCCATTCTGTCAGTGTAAAGACATTTAACTCATTATTTAATCACGGAGATATTTTAATATAAGTTAAAGAAGTGTACGTTTAACAATATGGCTCAGCATGTTAAAAGTGAGAAGAGTAAAAGAATAAAGACAAAGAATAATAACTTACAGTGAAAAAACGTTTTCAGATTAGTCTATCTATATGTACATATATATATATGTACATATATATATATATATATCATGACAATAACCAAGCTTGAATTACTGGGAGCTCATCGCCTAATCCTGACAGCTCCACTGTTCATAGTCCAAAGCTTATTAAACACAAAGCAGCACGAGAGCAATATGACATAAACAAAGACCAAAAAGAGGAAAAATATCAGCTTACTGCTATTCCAGGCAAGAAACAAAAGCTGATCCACAGAAAGCAACAGCTGAGAGACGCGTCTCAGCTGCTACGATAACAAGTAAACTGCCTGTATCAGCTTTCCTAATTTTCCTGGTGTAAACTATGCCTTGAGGAAACAAAAATGCCAGTGACATTTGGCATCTGATCTAACTTACATGGTTAAAGAGAAAAACAGCCTACCTGTTGGAGATACGAAGCATGAAGTCTAAGTGACACGCTTCAAAAGGCGGAAGGAGAGATGCAGTGCTGCCTCGAATTTCACTGAGAGGGTTTGAAGTCCAAGAGCGGAGAGGGGCTGTAAGTGTAGGTGTGGTTGTGTACACGTGACAAGGCTATCACAAGATAAGAAAGCTAGTTAAAGGAAAGAGACTGCTTTTTATGAGGAAAATATTGATAAGCTGAAATATATAAGCCAATGAGAATATCCAATACAACCTTGTAAAGGCAGGTATTGTAAGCCATAGATTAAACTATAAACCTTCCTTTTTTCAGAAATCCCGTATAATAATGTATCTAAAATTAAATACGCCAAAAATACCATGTAATTATTTACAATTCCAATTCTGTATGGCATAAAATAGGAAAACAAACATACACATTGACCATACATGGGATATAATATAGTCCATAAATGATTGAAAAATGACATTGCCAGTAAACTGTTCCAGTATGCAGAATCGTGGTTGCGTCATGCCTCATTCCTGCCACAGTGGTGCTGAAACCCAGGAGGCAGCATGAGGCTACAGCAGGGAGATATGACCAAAAATATTTATCA